TGATTTTCTCAAAAAATGGTTCTTAACAAATATCATCATTTATAAGAGATTTAATAAAAAATGGAGCATTAAGTAAAGAGTGTTATTTGACATTTCTTTATTCTTTTTAGAATTTTAATAAAAACCTAACAGTCACATAACATGGTGATGGTAACTATGAGATAATTTGTTATTTTATATTATCTTAAATGTGGTTAAAAAATTCGGCATAACAACAATTTGTGTAAAATTTATTATTTTTGATTACGTGTGATAACGTATGATTACGCGTAACTTGTTAAACATAAATATTTCAAGTGTAAAAAAAAAAAATTAAACAAATAGGAAGATGATTTTATGTTTTAAATTTTAACTTTTTTTTTAAACAAACTCAAACATGAATTTTTGTTTTGAGTCTAATGAAACAAGTTATTCATATTTTTATTTAATAAAATCTATTTTAATGATACGAACGATAGTGGCGTTTTTATTTATTTAGAATTTGATATATATAAAATATACTAATTGTTTATATATTCTATATATATATATATATATATATATATATATATATATATATATATATATATATATATATATATATATATATATATATATATATATATATATATATATATATATATATATATATATATATATATATAATATATATATATATATATATATATATATATATATATATATATATATATATTATATATACATACATATATATATATATACATATATGCATATATATATATATATATATATATATATATATATATATATATATATATATATATATATATGTATATATATATATATATATATATATATATATATATATATATTATTAGAATTAGTTGTTGTTTAAATTAATTAAGTTGTTAGCAGCGGAATTTACAACATTGTAATTAACATTCTTTGCAAGATTGGGTAAGGCAGCCGTTAGGATAATCCTGTTTTAGAGAGTTTTTGATGAGAGCTAACTTGCTAATTGATCTCGCTCTTTCAACCACAGATATTAGCAAAGTAAGAAAGATACTGAGACAGATGCATATCTGGGGCAACTTGCTTCATATCCATTCGCATAAATGCTGTTCAGAAGATCTAAAGACTAATCATTTGTCAGTAGTTGGCATCGAACAAACAATAAGTGGTGGAGCTTATCGATAAACAAGACTTCACTTAGATCATTTGGATACAGAAGTACGAGATATTTAACATTAGATACTTGACTGTTTGCTAAGTCCGAATTAATGTCATGGGTAGACCAGATCAAGGAAAATAATCTACATTGCTGTTTCAGTACATAAAATTTCTCTGTAATCTGATGGATAAAGGTAACAAAGTAAACAATTTTAATTTTTTTATTAGATGTTTTTAATTTTCATCGGGCATACTGTTAATATTTTTTGTCATCTGAGGATGCCCCATAAACGTGATGCTCGAGGAAAAGCAACCCGGATCCCCCACCCTCTATGCGCTCCTGGTTGTTAGCAAAAATTTATTAATTTGAACGTTTGTTTGGTGGCGACAAATAAAGTAGGATTAAAATTCAATTGCTTGTTGTAAAACGAAAATTTTGCGTGCTAAAACGCCATATATTTTGATTGTATTAACATATTTTGTATTGTTAAAATAAATTGTTTATTTTTAAACTTACTGCAGAGTGATAAATATTACGATTTTGGTCACTTAGCATCATTAATTTTAGTGTCTTCCAGAGCATTTAGTATTGTAGGGCAATCTGTATTTTAACTGACGCAACAACATTAACTTTGCATTAAGGGGTAAACAGATTCTATCTGTTGACCAGCCTCGCACCCCTTCTCTATCTATTAGGCTGGCGCAGATGTATTTTTAATACATTGTTTCCAGTTTAGGATGCTGAACGCTGGATCTTCTTGACTCGATGCATGGGTTTTGCTTGTATCTCTGTTTTTATGACTAGGCAACTCATTCTATTATCTCCAAATGAGGATACAGCTCTAAAACTCAGTTTTATGGTTCTGAGGCCGGCTGGTAGTCAGGTTTTCCGAACTCTGTGGTAGCTCTCAGAGAAGCTGATTCCATCAACAGCTGAAAAATATCAGAGTACTAACAGTGCCATGTTGCGCATAGATGGTGTCCCTGTTTGTACTTTTGGTGTGCATTGCCAAGGCCACATTGGAGCCCTTTGCTACGGCTTAGGGTTTATTAGTGGAAATGAGGAAATTGCTTGGGCTATAAAACAATGTACTGAGTACTATCTATGTTTCCAGTTAAGTTCTTTAACAAATTTAAAAATGAATAAAGTAACTAAAACTATAAAACACCAAGTTCGCTAAACCTATCATTCACCAATATTCGTGGTCTTCGAAGTAACTTTTCTTCTGTTAAGTCTTATCTCTTGCAAAGTTCACCAAACCTACTTGCTCTTTTACCAAACCTCAGTGCTCAGTCTCTCCACACTCACCCTTGGTGCTTCTGATCATGGTTTGGTCTCTGTAAAACTATTATCTTATTCTTCTTTACCATCAGAATCCCCCTATCATTGTACATCTTACAACTACCTTATAGCTGACGGGGACTCTTTTCGTGATTTTCTTCGTGATGGCCCCTGGGTAGAAATCTTTCGTCTTCCTGTTGAGAAATGTGCTTCTTACATAACTTCGTGGATTCAGGCTGGCATGGAATCCTTTATTCCCTCTCGACGATTTCGATCTTCTCGTTCTACAGCTGATTTGTTAACAGTAATAACCGATAGGTCTTATTGCCCATTAGATAAAGGTAGAGAGGTTAAGGCCATCGCTCTTGACATTTTTAAAGCGTTAGATAAAATTTGGCATGCTGTTCTTCTCCATAAGCTATCTTCTTACGGTGTATCTGGAAACATCTTTAAGATTATTGAATCCTTCCTTTCCAATTGTGGTATAAAAGTTGTCCTTGATGGACAGCACTCCTTCTTATTCTGTAACCTCAGGGGTTCCTCAAGGTTCAATCCTTGGCCCTATAATCTTTTTAGTTTACATTCGCGATCTTCCAGATATTCTCACATCTAAGGTGGCATTATTCGCTGATGATACTACCATTTGTTCTTGTCACGATAAGAAGCTAACTCCCTCTGATTGCTTACAGGGGGCATCTGAGCTTGAAAAGGATCTCACTTCTGCTACAGCATAGGGTCACAGTGGCTAATGAACTTTAGTTCAGATAAAATTCAATTTTTTTGGCCAATCGTTATTGCAATAATTTAGACCTTCCTATATTTATGAACGGTAATGTACTCGATGAGTCTCCTACCCTTCATCTTTTAGGATTAACTCTTACTTCTGATCTTTCTTGAAAACCTTGTATCAAATCCGTTGCAAAATTAGCATCTGCTAAAGTTGCTTCTCTTTATCGAGCTCGTCACTTTCTTACTCTGGATTCTAATCTCTGTCTCTATAAATCTCAAACCCGGCCTTGTATGGAAAACTGTTGCCATATCTGGGATGGATCTTCTAATGATGCCCTTTCTCTTTTAGACAAGGTGCAAAAACGCATTGTAAACATAGTTGAACCTGCTCTTGCAGCCAACCTTTAACCTCTGTCACATCGTCGTAATGTTGCCTCTCTTTCTCTTTTCTACAAATACTATAATGGGTACTGCTTTAAAGAGCTAGTGTCTCTAGTGCCATCTACTAAAATTCATTCGCGTTTTACTCGTCATTTAATTAAGTCTTATCCTTTTTCTGTTACTGTTCCTAAGTGCTCCAAAAACTCTTATTCGTCTAGTTTTTTTCCTCGAACATCAGTTCTTTGGAATACGCTTCCTTCGTCTTGCTTTCCTGATTCATTTGATTTGCAATCTTTTAAGTCGTCTGTCAATCGTTATCTTGCTCTACGGTCTTCATCTTTTCTCTTCCAGTAACTTCCAACACTAATTAGTGGTTGCTTGTAGCCTTGTTGGAAGCGAAGATGTTTAATAAAAAAAAAAAAAAAAAAGTTGGACTTATTGTAATTTTTCGTGTTAGTTAGCATAATTTTATTAAACATACAGGTTTGTAAACTATTAACTTATGAATTATTATTTTAGTTGCTTAAACTTTTTTTTATTTTGTGGAACACATTAGATTTGTATTTAAGTCAACTGCGTTTTGCGTTTGCTTTTCTTAAAAATTTTAGTTTATATATGAATGTAATTTTTACCAACTTACTAATTTTTTTAGTTAAAAAAAATTTTTTTTCGGGTATGCGATAAGCTCCTTAAAGAACATGAATAATAAATAAGGCTATCAGTGTAGCGCGAACCTAGTAAACATACACGGCGCCAACTTTAATCTGATGAACACCCGCTCATGTTTCATTTTGATGCAAAATATAACAATGGCCAAACATAACGTCATCTAAGTAAAACATGTAAAATGAAATATCATTATAGTACAGTTTATGTTTGCGATATTTATTAATTGATTGTAAGCCATTGACATCAACATCAGTTGATGTTTTTTTTAATTTTTTTTCGACCCAGAAAAAAAAAAAAAAAGACCTTTAGAAAAAAAAGTGAAGGAGGGCACTTGCCACCATGGTTCTATGATGTCATCGGCCCTGCAATAAGTCGCAGCAATATTTGCTTAATTAAAACCATTGAAAACCTAATATTTTTATTCTTATTTTTTAGATCACTTGCCATTTTATGTGCAATGGCGTTTTAACAATTTTTTATTTACAGTTTTTCTAAATTCTAAATTCTTTTTTTGTCCCAAGTTTATTTGGAAACCCGAAAAGTTTAAATATTTAGTAATAGTTTTACAAATTAAATACGAATGAGTGCTTGTGTTATTTGCGTTGATACATATTTTTTATAAAAGGTTATTTTATTAACATTAAGATAAATGATTTTAAAAACTTTCTCTAAATGATTAAGTAATTTAAAATTGACTTTACTTTGATATTGGCTCTTATATACCATTAAAAATAAATTAATCAATATGCAACGAAAAACAAAAAAAAAATAAAATAAAATAAAATAAAACTACATTCATTTAACTTACCAGATAAAGCCAAAGTTGCATAAGCTATAACAAAAATTTTATCGAACATTTTTTTTTAGAACTTTTAAATTATTTTGTATAAAACTTGATTAAGATATTATGTTCAAGAATTCTAAACAATAAATTGACGATATCAACTAATAGTTTAGAAAAATTAACCAAAACAACGGCAGTAATAGCAACGATAGAATTACTCGTTAACTTTTGTAAGTTAAAGCTATTTAATAAGCATCTGCAAAAAAGAATTAAAAAGGTTATTTTTCAGTGTTTTACTTTGAAATTCAAACTCGTGTCATATTTCCTTAAAAATCGAAACTCGTGTCATATTACCACTTTTACTTTCATTTTCAGAATGTAAGAACAAACTATTTTTACAAGTAAAGTAATATGCGATTAGTATTAAACAATCATATAAACTAATATATTAATTATATTAAATATATGTCAATTAATATATTAAAAGTACAAAAAAAGTTAATGTACAACAGTTTAAAAATAAATTGAAACAGAAGTTATCACTTAAGGATTTTAAAATATCCGATTTTAAATACTTCTTTTCAACTAAAATTCAGTTATATAAAATATGTCTCAGAATGTATCATTTTTTTATTAATTTAGTTATGTTATTTCTTCTAATCTTAAGTGTTATTGTTAAAATCTAATCTTTCTAAATAATTTTTTCAAACTATCAATAAATTGTTATTTATTTTATATTTATACAAATTGGTTTTAAAATATATATATTATTGGTTTTAATATATATATATATAACGGTTTTTTTAAGTATATATAAATATATATATCTTTTGTTTCTTACCTAAACAATGTTTAAAAAATTTTGTTCTTTACTTAAATATTACTTTTTTACAAACTGTTATATATTTAACTTTTATATTTTTTGATAAAAAACCTGTTAAATATACATATATAGTCAGGGCCGTCCCGAAGAGGGGGTGTCGGAGGTGTCCCACCCCCCAAAGTTGTCATTTAAACATTTGAGTTGGCACATTGACCAAGTTTTGAACTATAATTGGCAAATTGCAAATGTTGAGGATTTTTTTTTTTTGGTGTTTGTAGTTGGCAAAAAAAACATACCCCCCTCCTCCATAGAAGACCTCGTCGGGACGGCCCTGTATATATTAGGGGTGTTTATTTTTCAACAATTTTTTCTTTTTAATATGTACTCTTAAGTCCCTAATATACAGGGGGGTGTGAAGTTGAATAATTTTTTTAAAATTTTCCCACCCATCTTAAGCTTATTTAGACCCCACCCCCGTTTATTAATTTTTACTTGCTATCTAAAAAAAAAATATCTCACCAAAGTATAAAACTTATTAAGCCCTATTGAAATTATTATAAAACAGCTGTTAGAAAATGCGCATTTGACCACAAACCATGCTAAACTTGAATAATATTATGCGTGTTTTGTAAAAAATATCAGTTTTTATTAATAAACCGTAATTAAAAAAAAAAAAAAATACTTATAATGTAACATAAAAAAATCCCACCCCCCTTCCTTTTATTAACCCCCCCCCCCCCTGTTTATTAAATCTGGACTAAAATTTTCCCCCTCCCTCCTTTTATCCCACCCCATTTGTACTAAAAGTGGGGTGGGAATAAATGTTAGCTAAAAAGTTGGGAAATTTAAAGTGATTTCATGATATATTTTTAATTTTTTGAAAAAATAATTTTTTAATCTTGCGCAAGTAGACGACATTTTTTATAAATTTTGAAATTTTTACAGGTTGCCAAATATCTGAAGACCTGAGTCTAATATACACATGTATGACATATTTTTTATTTGACCATGTATAGATAATGTGTGCTGTTTTTTGCCCTTTTTACAAATAGCGGATTAAATTTGTAAACAAATATTTTTAACTTTTCTTTTCTTAAATGAAGTAAATATATTTTAAATTTAAATACTATCTACGTAAAAGTCTTAAGCGGAAATTATAATACTTGTAAAATAACAACTTATGATTCCTTAATTTATTTTCGATTAAAAAAGGATTAAAGTTTTGAATAGAAAAGTAAAACGACAGACATTTTTAAGAATTAAAATACTTTTTAATAAACATTGGCTCGTAAAAAAAACTTTTATAAGTATTTTATAATTACTAAAATTTGTTTTTGAATTATCTTTAATTTATTGGTAACTTTTGACTTGCACTTTTAACATTTATTCCACACTTCGGCTTCAGGTTTGCTCTTTTTACAAATGGCAGACTATTGTTATAAACAAGAAAAAGCGGCTTCACTTTTTGTCCAATAAAATCCCGCAAGTCAGACATCTAGTTATATAACATATCATTGGGTGTTACTAACATATCATTGGGTGTTACTAACATATCATTGGGTGTTACTAAAACTTTTTTAACGTTTAAAATTTTAGAGATAATTTTGTTCTGTAAAAAGAATATAAATACTAATACAATGTTTTACCTTATGGCAAAAAAAAAGTTACGTTTTGCATTTAAAAACGATAAATTAAAAAGTATAAAGGCTTCAAAAACTTTTTATTGAAAAATTACCAGGAGGACGTAGTAATCAGTTAGAATAGACATTTATGGCTAAGTGTTCCAAATGTCAACTATCAAGCACAGAGCTATCAAATCTTAGTTGGCCCAACTCAGGTTTTCCGCAACTTATTCGAAAACCAGAAAAATGATTCTTAATCATTAAAAATATTTTAGCAATATTTATTTTTATTCTGCCTAATTTATTTAACAAGGCTTATTTATTTAACATCTGCCTTATTTATTTAACAAGGAAAGATAGATCTTTTAATTTTTTTAAAATTGAAGATGGAAGTATTCATAGAAAAAAGTTTATTTTAAAGTTTGTGAATTTTTATACTTTTTATGCGAAAATACTTTTATTTTTGATAAACTCATGATGTCACGCTCGTTTTTTTATTCAATTTTGGTCAATCAATCAACAATAAATCACTTACCCAGCGATTATTTCTATTTTCTTATTTTATACACATAATAAATACCTTTTATGAATTACTAGCATAATAGATAAAAATCTAAAACGTATTGCAAATATTTTTTAATCTGAAAAAAATAAATTGCTGACTCAGCAAAAAAAGGTGAAAAAGTTAACGTCCCAAGAACATAAATATCTTAAGATTACATCAATATTAAAGGTTAAAGTTTTTCAAAACGTATATTAGTGTAGCTTGTGTCTGAACCAAAAATTAAAAAAAAAAGTTTAAACGATCAAAAATGGTAGACTTAATAGTATAAAAAACTATTTTTTACCAATAAAACACTTATTTGGTATGATAATTGTAGGTTAAGTTTGATTTTTTTTTTAATTTTATTTTTAGTTCAGGCACTGAAAACATTAATAATGAGCATATCCTGAAAATTTGAAGCTAAAATAATGTTTTTTTATTGAGATATCGTTGTTTTCCTACAGCTACTAAAAAAAAAAAGAATTGAAAAAAAAATTGAACGATAAAAATTGTAAAGCACACTTAGTCGATTCGCAAAGTTTTTAAATAACTTGTAATTGATTTCATTTTTGAATATATTTTTAAACACTTTTAAAATGTTGTTTATCTTTTGTCAATACCCATTCACAGACCGGATAACCAGCCACAGATGTTTAAATATTATATTCTGTTGGCTTATATTTTTGTTTTGTCTCTCGTTTTTTGTACCAAACTGTTTTGTAATTTAACTTGTCTACGACAAATTCTGGTTTTCTACCTAATTTCAACTTTTTATTTGTAATATCTCTACCATGATGTGCATATTACGTCCTTTAAAAGGCATATATGCCTTTTAAAGGACGCAATTTGTGAGATTCGCTTTTTGTTATTTCCTTTATTCGTGACATTCTCATTAATTTATTTACTTTTTCATATACTTTTCTTATCTATCTATTTAAATTTATTTTCTTAAGCTAAATATTTATAAGTAATAACTTATGCACTATTATTTTTTTAATTACACAGGTCTGCAACATTTTTTTTCTTCTAAGATTAAAGAGTTAATTTTTATGTATATTTGGTCGCTGAATTCGAAAAAGTTATCAAAAAAATTCCATCACATAAGGTTTTTCTAAAAAACGCAAAATGCTGTGGGGTTGCCTATTTTAGGGCGCAAAACGGAGTTTATTGCCAAAATATTTATTATTTTATTTATTAACTGATTATAAGATAATTTTATGTTTCGTACGTTAAAACAAAACATTTAGTAACTCGTGAAGATAATATTAGTCAGCGTTGAATCACATATATATCGGGATTTTCCATAGTAAGTATGGAAAATCCCGATATATACAAATGTATACAAATATATACAAATCATTTATTTGCATATACAAATATATACAATTTGTATATATTTTGTATACATTTGTATATATCGGGATTAAATATATACAATTTGTATATATTTGTATACATTTGTATATATCCACAAGCCAGTGTCGGATTAACCCTTAGGCAAATAAGGCACATGCCTTAAGACCAGCAAAAAATTCAGGCCACAAAAAATTTATACATAAATTTATATTTATGTCTTATCTTTATTGATAAAATTATTATAATTATTTCAATTACTATACACATTTTGTTCATATATCAATTTTACGATGTAAAAAATTGTAACTAATTTATTCTTATATTATTCTTCTAAAATATCGATTTAATATACTAAGTTACTCTTCTAAAATATCGATTTAAAACATTTCGAATAAAATATTCAAAAAGTATTGTGCTTTTTTATATTTTTGAAATTCGATAACATTTGTTTTAAACAGTGTAACTCTTTCGTAAACAATAACAAAGCGTAGTAATAAAATTAATGGTTTTAGCAAATGAATATACTTTTAGATATGATTATGTATGATTTTTTATCATATATATATATAAAACAATATGTTTAATCATTATTATATCACATATCCATTTTACATATTCTAATTAATATTATTTTAATTTATAAATTAGTTCTTGCTATAACATAGAAAACTTATATACACTATACATGTAGAACTTCAGTTCTGTGACCTAGGGGTATAAGAATCAGATCATTAATAAGTCAAACAATCAATCCCATTGAGTAATTTGCATGAATTTTTGAACACCATGCTCCTGAAATAAACAAAAATAAAGTCCTTCACTTATAGGAATCTATAATTTTTAATGAATTATGTTGACACTGTCATCATTATTGTTAAATTTCTGTTGTAATTATTATTTTAATTAAACAAAATATAAATTCTGATCTTTCCAAGTTGAGTCTTTGTCTATTTATTGATGGATTACCTCTCTTTAACAGCACAGTGAAATGTTTTTGGGTTATATGTGGGTGCATTCTAGAAATCCCATCATCTGAATTCATAGTTGGTGTTTATTCTGGTAGTTCAAAACGAAATTCATCAAATGATTTTCTTCTCGTACACTGGTAGTTTGATTTTAAATTATTATTTCGAATATCAAAATCTATATTATGTATAGGTTTTGTATGTTCTTATCATGCAGTTCACAAGAAATCAATTTTTAAAATTTTACATCAACTTATGATATGATTTTCTGAATCAATTATTTTTAAATCGAATAGTTATGCTATTGAATACATAAAAATACGTTTTTAAAAATCACTTTTACGTTTTACTTTTAGATTAATGTTGATACGTAAAGTTGGTTGGGAGCGAGCGATGGAGTTAGAGAAGAAAATGCATGATGAAGATAAACTGTTAAAGAAAATACCCAAAATCAATTTATTTTTCACTGCCACGAACAAGGTTGATGCTACTGATAATATTACTTTCAATTCCCTACCATCCTCATCAACATCTCAGGCAGGTATTGATCACAAGGAAGAGGCTGCAAAAATTGCATTTGAACTTGGACATACTGAAAATTTTGAAGGCGGAGCTGATACTGGTTCAGAAACTATTCCTAATGATGTTGGGAGTTTTGGTGACATAACAGATCATGTGCGTAACATGTGCATCATCCTTGGGATAATCCATTTTTGAAACTTGGCAGACAGTTATCCAGAAACAAAGCGGGAATACAGTGGAGTGAATCGCTTCCTAAACTTAAGTGTCTTCAAACGGGTTTTGCCAAATGGTGATATCGTTGATTGTGACTGGCTTGTTTATTTTCCAGCCAAGACATGTGTCTTCTGTTTTCCCTGCATTCTGTTTTTATCTGACCAGTCACAGTTGTCTGGCTCAGGATTTAAGGATTTGAAGAATATGACACAATACTTAAAATCCCATGAAATCAGTGCAAAGCACATACAATCAGTTCTCACTTTATGTCAAAGAAGTGTTGCTGCTAGGAGAGTTGACGAGCAATTGCACAACAATATGTTGGAGCAGCGCAATTACTGGAGAAATGTCCTGTCACGCTGTGTTACAACTATTACTTTTCTTTGTGAGAGAGGTCTCCCTCTTCGAGGTAGCAATGAAGTTGTTGGTTCCAGAGAAAATGGGATTTATTTGGACATCTTGGAGCTGATTGGTCAATTTGATCCTTTTTTGTCCCAGCACATCTGTACTCATGGCAACCGCGGACGTGGTCACACATCATATTTGTCAAAAACATTTTGTGAAGAACTAATTGCAATGATGGGTGAACAAGTTATGGGTTTCATAAAGGATGAGATTTCAAAGTCACGGTATTTTTCAGTTTCATTAGATTCCACTCCTGATATTACTCATTGTGACCAGATGACCATTATTCTTCGTTATATTATTATGGTGGATTACCAGCTTGTGGAGCGTTTTTTGACATTTATCAATATATCCAGTCACATAGGGCAGAATCTGTTGACACATTGCTTCATTACTTGTCAGATCAGAACATCGACTACAAAAATTGCCTTAATCAGACATATGATAATGTCAGCAATATGTCTGGTAAATATATGCAACAAATCCTGAAAAACAAAACAGTTTAGTAGACTACATTCCTTGTGCTGCCCACTCGTTGAACCTAGTTGGCCAGTCAACTGTGGATTTTTGCGTTGAAGCAGTTTCATTTTTTAACATATTGAATTGCCTGTATACTTTCTTCGTAGCATCAATACATAGTTGGGATGTCATGATGACCCATGTTCAAAACCAACCAGAATGTCTTGTTCCAAAATACCCATCAGATACCCGGTGGTCTGCTCGAGCTCATGCTGCAAAAGCAGTGTTCAAGGGGTACCACCAATTACAAAGTGCTCTTCAGGAGATCTCAGGGGATTGTAATCAGAATGGTAGCACTTGGAATGAAGCGGGTTAATTGGCCAAACACATGGATACTGTTGAAGTTGCCCTATTGTGTGAATTTTGAAATGACATTCTGCAGAGGTTCAACATTATTAGCAAGTTATTGCAAAGTTCTACAATCGAATTAACTCCAGCTATTAGTCTGCTGAAGAGCTGGCATATATTTTTGGATGAATGCCGAGAGAAGTTTGACGATTATAATCAGAAGGCAGGAGATCGCTGTGGCAACAGCAAATATTAATCTGAAAGTCAAAGACAACCAAAGCGTAAGAGACAAATCAATGATGGAGATGCCGCAGATGCTATGGAAAAGATGTCAAGCCAGCAAATCTTTAAGGTCAATACCTTCTATGTCATCATCGAGCAGATGAAAAATGCATCAAAGAAACGCATTAAAAATTACTCAATTGTGATGCAGAGATTTGGAGTTCTGACTGAGTATGACTCCATGACCGATGAAGATATTGACATTGCTGTTAAAGGAATGGTTACTGTGTACTCGAAAGACGTTTTGTAAAAATAATTTGAACACAAAGTGTCATATCAGAATCTATCAATATTGCAACAAATTTTTCTTATTCCTCGTTTCTTACTTTGTGTGCTCTCTCAAGTGTTGTTGGAATACTAATTGAATCATGTTATTCTATGGAAAATGATAGAAAAGAAATTAAAAAAAAAACTGTTTATGAAATATTTTTCAACTGCACTGTTAGACCACGTGTTGAACATTCTTTAAGCACATCTGTAAAATAAAAAATACACATTATTCGTTGCTCTTCAGCAACTGCAGGTTTTAAACAGACCTCTAATATATTTGTAAACAAAAATCACTTTCCTTTAATATATTTTAAATATATTCCTATAAAGTATCAAGTTCCTAATATTTTTGCACCTAAAGTAGTAAAATTACCTGAAATTAATCAACTAACTTCTTCAAAATCTAGTATCATGTTTCCTGATTCTACTCAGGAAACAGATATTTTAGATCCAGTTAAAATTCTTTCCATTTTATTAAAAAAAAAAACTCACAATTGATCAATTTACTATTAAGTCACCTTTTTCTACAGATAAAAAAATTTGTGTTCTATCTTCGCCAATCAAATTAAAAAGTTCTTCAGCACTATCGATTGTAGAATATTCTTCAAAATTTATCCAACCACCGAGTAAGTCAAATTTAAACTCTAAAAGTAGTTCTTCTGCTTTTGGAAATAAATGTGAACTATCCTTTGTAAACAAATACGATATCGGGCTCTATGAAACTTATGGAATTAATAAACTAGGCAATGAAGATAACTAAACAATCAATATAAGATTTACTAAAAAATGTTTATAAACCAACCTCTAGTTTTCATTTTGAATCCAATAAATCAGGTTGTTCCTTCAGGTCGTCTTTCAATTTCCTTGGCTCTTATTATACTCTTGGCTCAAAAATTAAAAAAGGTGCTTATTGTGTTATTTTTGGATCTGAAGAATCAACTCATAATGCAAGTAAACTTGCTCAGCTTTATAAATCTCCATTTGTGGCATATACAAAGGCCATTAATAAGTTTAATAAACATGCTGAAAGTTTACTAAACTGCAACTCTAAAGACAACTCATTTTCGCCAATGTATGGAGCAAAAGATAAATTTTATTGACTTAAATCTCAACAAAGTAATTGATGAACAAGTCAAGAAAAATAGAGAAATAATAAAACCAATAGTTCTGGCAATTATTATGTGTGGAAAACAATACATACCTCTTCGAGGTCACAGAGATGATTTATTTTACTATGAGAATGAAAATAGTAACTCTGGCAATCTTCAATCATCTTTGAAATTAATATCTGATTGTGCAGAAAACAGTTTGGTGAATGGGCGAATCGCTACTCCAAAAATGCAACATATTGCTCAAAAACTACTTAAAATGAGTTGATTAATATTTGTAATGACATTATAGTTTCTAAAATGAAATGCTCAGTTAAAAAAGCTAACCTTTTTTCAATATTAGCAGATGAAGCATCTGATGTTATATGGAACAAATGCCACTTGTATTACGCTTTGTAAATGATAATTGTAAAATTTGTGAACTATTTATTGGCTTTATTCCTTGCAAATCAGGCTTGTCTGGAGAAGCTATAGCCAGCCAAATTTTATAGTATTAATTTAATACAAAATTTCATTTCTAATCCCAAATCTTTAATACCATTAAAGATTTGGAATTAGAAATGAAATTTTGTTTTGTCAAACGGTGCTGGTAACATGGCTGGGAACTGTTCCGGTGCTGCAGTAAGAATAAAAACTATTTATCCAAAAGCATTGTATGTTCATTGTGGATGTCATGTCCTCAATCTTTGTGTCGCATACAAATAGTTAGCAATATGATGTCAAATGTTCGTGTTAATTCTCAATTATTTATTTTTAGTCCAAAGTGTTTTGATGTTCTGAAAAAAAAAATTGAAGAAATGTTTCCAAAAGCTCATCACTCTCGTCTTATAGATAGATGTCGTACAAGATGGATTGCCAGAAATGATGGTTTGATGTGTTTATAGAGGTACTTCCTGCTATAATTAAATGCTTTGAGCTAATGAATAATAACGATGAAAAATCTTGGAATCATGACTCAGTGTGTGATGCAAATAGTTATTTCTTTGCTACTAGATCTTTTCAGTTTCTTGTTACTTTAATAGTGGTGTCTCACTGTTTGAAAGTAACAAGACCAATTACAAAACAATTTCAATCTCCAAAATTTAATGTTTTTGTATCGCATGAAAAAGTAAATTTGATTCATCTTGCTTTACAGCGACTAAGATCAGACATTGAACACAGTCATGTTGCTTGGTATAGTGAGGCAGTTATATTGGTAGCTAGTGTTGGTGTTTAACCACAAGTCTAGTACAATAGGAAAACAGCTTAATCGAAATTATTGTTCTAGTGAATCTATTAATGAGTATTACAAGAAAGTTATTATAATTCCTTTTCTTGACCATTTATCATCCCAGATTCAATTACGTTTTTCTAATAGAAACATTGCTGTTTATAATGGATTCTTTGCAATGCCAACTAACGTTTTAAATGTTGCTGAATGAAGAATCGACTTTCTTCTTTTTTTAAATGAGTATAAGGATGAACTTATACTCATTTAAAAAAAGGAACCACGCTATATCATGACCGAATTGAACATGTGGTAAGATTATTGGCGTAGTTTTAAAAATTTCCTTCTAACTACTCTAACCAAACTCCTTCCTCTTGTTGATAGAATAACTTTTCCTAATATATTTACCTTAATTCAAATATTTACAACTATTCCAGTAACAACATGCACTTGCGAAAGATCAATCTCTGTTATTCGTCATTTAAAAACCTATCCACGTAACACGTCACAGATTTAATAGTCTTGTTTTAATGCACGTTTACCAAGATAGCATTGATGTAAATGAAGTGATTGATTGTTTTGCTCGGAAAAATCCTCGTAGAATGAAACTTGTAGAAATTTTAAATTCTGATCCAATTTAAACTGTTTTATTTAATAATATAATATAGATATATTATTTACTGTTTTATATATTTTCTGGAGTAATTTAAAAAGTGGTCCTAGAAAGTTCTGCAGTTTTTTTGTGTGTATTTTTTAAGCATGAAATTATACTTCAAAAAAATATATATAGTAGAATCTTGTTAAGTCTGACTTAAGGGGAATAGATAAATAATCAAACTTAGGGGAAGCTCTCGGTATGTTATAGAAAGTTCAATGGGAATTGAAAATCTGACTAAGTAAAAGTTTGAGTTATCAGACATAATTATAAAGTTTTCATTATTAATAAATTACTATTATTGATAGTTATAATTTAGTTTAATTATAATTAAAGTTAAATTATAACTGGATTTAAAAATAAGTCTGTTATTACATTTTTATTTATATTTTTGGGGAATTGGAAAATAAATGGCCCCAGAATATAATGAAAAATAAATGCTAGGAAAATAAATGGCTCAAGAATATCATGAAACTCAGAATATCATGAAACTTTTATTTTATTACTGTTACATAATTTTGTTTATAAACAGTGTTATATAATGTTATTAAATCTATTCACTATTATTAATGTATTTAGCGTATAAGTTTATTCTTTTTGTTATTATTGTATTACAATTTATAAATAATTATTGTGTATAATTATATATTTAAAGTATATTATGTGCATAAATTTATTATATCATAGTATTAATAGTGAGTTGTAATACAATTGTGTTGTAATTGCAATATAATGTGCATGACACAGGTGTTTTTAGAAATTAAACTAGATCGTTAGTTTATATACTTTTAAGTTTCTGTTTACAGATCATATTAGAAGCAAATTTTGAGTTTGCTTCTAATATGATCTGTAAACAAATATTTAAACTAGATTTTTATTAACAGTTTTTTTTTTTATCAGTTCTTCATTTTGTATTTATTCTACTATTTTATTTTAGTTTTCCTACTGTTGAAATATGGTTTTAATTTAGTAAAGTTTCATGATTTGAAGTTTACTTTATTGGTCATAAGGTAACAGTTTAGAAAAAGAAATTTAAGTTAGGGTAAGAAAATTGTTTACTTTTAACATTTCAAAACTGGGCTTTACTGTTCAATTCTTATGCTATTCCTAGTTTATGTTATATGTCATACGAATAATAAATAAATTGTTTAAGTTCATGAAATTATTGTATTATTATTGATTGATTCTTGGTATAACGGTCAATTGCTGCCAATATATTGTTACTGCATTAGATTGCATACAAAATATTTTTATGTACGCAAAATTACTTTCGCACAGTACTCTTGCCTGCCGAATAAACAGGGGGGGGGGGGTGTTAGGAGGGTAGGAAATTTTTCTTATCTATAAGCATCTAATAAACAGGGGGAGGGGTCCTAATAAATAGGAGGGTCGGAGTTTTACAAAACTTAAAATAATATTTTTGGTCGGTTGTTCATATTTTCATCTATTATTGCGAGAAATGTTTTTCTCAAAGTAAAAAAATAGCAGACATATTTTAGATTGTT